GGGGGGTGAGGGGGGGGCGCACATGGTGGGCAGCAGCTGTTCACATCGTGGACTGAAGGACCAACAGCCACTGGCCTCCTATCTCATCTGTCCTTATCTCTCTCTCTCTCCCATCGTCAACCTGACTGGCAGCTACCACGCCATAACAATCTTAAAGTAAGAAAGGAAAGGAGGGAGGGAAGAAGGGATGCTGGGTATTAAATTGGCTCTTCGGAAGGAGGCCCTGAGCTAACATGGAGTCAAACAAGATATGAACAGAACAGCGGCAGGCCCAGGGCAAGTGTGACCGGCGATATCTCCAGGAACAATCGCGCTACAGGAAGAGAACGGGTCTCACCGCGGCCATCTTACTGACACTCTGGCAAGGTGTTTACATTTTGTGACACATTTGGAAACACGACCGATCTCACAGAGCTGCCTGGATCGCCACTGCCATGATCCAGTTCATCCCTTCATTTTCTTATCTACTCGTCACGCTTGTGAGGGCCATGACCGTGTGCTGCAGCGTTGTGCCCAAGAGGAGCTCAGCGTCGATGGGGAGATGTGCTTTCATCTCAAGGACTGACTGACTAGGAATTTTCTGGGATGAGTGTGGCCAGGGGAGGGCTAGGCATAAGACTGAGAACCAAATCAGAGAAAGGAAGAAAGATTAGGGCACCGGGACAAAAGCTACTTAGAGCTCAAATAATATGATGGTCCATTTACAATATTTATGGTGCCATACAGCTAGGCGATCCTAGAAGAAAATTATTTTGAAGTGAAATGTCTTTTCTCTCAAAATTGATCCAACAATTATCTGGCAGTGTTAGAAAGGGAATCAAGATGATTTATGATACAGCTCCCTTATTCTCAACAGAAAGAAAGCAAGTTCCATTTGTCTGAAGTTGTAGCGGATACTGTGGGTCCGTGACAGCCCTGGCAATTCCTACTGTCTCCACTCGTGGCTCAGCTCGGCCTCCTGGTGCGGGTTGCAAATGTGGGCAGCCCTCAGCAAGTACAGGAGAAACACACAAACCTGTCCAGGTGGGGACTCTGAGGTCTGTTCTGCATGAGCCCCCAGAAGCCCCAGGGAGATGAGGCGCTAGCTGTCCACAGCTCGTGGCTACCCTCCTGCCTGGGTTCTTTCTCTTTTCTGTCTCCCCGCTGACTTCCCAATGTCTCTGAGGATTACGTCATAAATAGACTGCTTGCATCCAAATCTGTGAGTCAGGATCTGTTTCAGGAGGAATCTGTATCGAGACAACGGGAAGAAAGAAAAACCGGAAATCTCCACATGTCAACAGACCCTGACTCCTTGAGCCTGACCTGTCACTTGGGTTGTCTTCCACAACAGCTAGAGCCTGGCTCCTGAGGATGTGGGACACCTGACCACAAATGGCCAATCTCAAGACATATAACTGGCGCTGTGAATTTCACTGCCTAAGAGAACACGGAGGCATACGCTTACCCATCCAGATATGGACCCCACACAAATGTCGCACAAGATGAGACCAAGTGATTTTCCTTCTGCTATTAAGGAAAAACTTCTACCCCCCTCTCAAGAGTTCTTTGCTATGTCTCTGTCTCTCCTGGCAGCACATTGTCTCTATAAAAAAAAAAAATCTTTTTCTAACTCTATTCTTATCTACTTCAGCTGCTCACCATCATTCCCAGTCTGACAGAAACACTTTAGAGTTTCAATTGTGTCCCCCAAAAGGTATGCTGGAGTCCCCACCCAGCCTCTCCTCCCCTGCCTGCCCTAATTTGGAAATTAGGGAATCTTTGCCCTGTAATTAAGATGAGGTTGTCCTGTATCAGGGTAGTCCCTGGTCCAATATGAGTGATGTCTTTCTGAGAAGAGTAGACAGACAGACACCACAGTGAATAATATCATGTAAAATGGAGAGAGTGAGGGGCACATCTGCACACAATGCCAAGAGCCATCAAGCCAGACACTAGGAGCAACCCATGGGAAGGGTACTCCCCAAAACTTCCCAAAGGAGCTTACCATATTGAGACAGGACTTTGGACTTCCAGACTTGAGAGTTTTTTTTTTTTATTATTCCTTTGGACCTTTCAGTGTGTAATGTTTCATTATGACATTCCTGGGAGACTCCTTCTGAATGTTTCCAGAAGCTGGGGCCTCCTTGGCTATTGCTTCCTGCATCCCTTGGTACTAAGTCTGCATCATTGCTCTGGGGTCAGGTTGTAATGACTAGACAGAACAGACAAAGGACTTTTCTAGAATCCTGTCAGCAGGAGCAAGGAGAGAGACCCAACTCCACTTTCTAGCATGAATCTCAGCTGAACTGTGCTGCTCAAAAGCCTAAAAGCTTAACCAGCCAAATGCTTGTAGTTTCTGGTCCTCACACCTTATATACCTTTTTGCTTTCTACCACCACTCCCTGGGATTAAAGGCTTGCTTTCTGGGATTAAAGATGTGAGTCACCATGCTTGGCTGTATCCTTGAACACATGGATTTCTGCCTCTGGAATGCTAGGATTAAAGGCGTGTGCTACCACTGCCTATCCTCTATGTTTAATATTATGGCTGTTCTGTCTCTGACCCCAGATAAGTTTATTAGAGTGCACAATATTTTGGGGAACACAATACCACCACACCACTTTGTCACCCACAGCAGCCCAAGGAGTTCAGTTGATCCTTTGGGACCTTGATTCAGGGAAATCTGGATTCTTCAATGGAGAACAGCCTTTGGAATGAGCCGGTATGAATCAGAGGTAGACTGTAATTAAAAGAGCAGTAAAGGTTCCCTGGAAAGAAGAAAGCGCCCCTGAGGGTGTGGTTGAGCACTACTAACATGTTGAGAATCGCAAGGATCTTAGCTGTCCCCAAAGAGACCTGTTGTGGCTCTCAGTCACGTCTCACTGGGCCACTAAGAACCGTTTTTTCTCTTCTCCTTTAAAAAATGAAATCAAGTTATTAATGACTCTAAATATGCCTTGAGTGGAATCACAGTCTCACAAGATAAAACCAGGAGCTAATGGGGATGCACAAAGGGTTAGGGACATGACCTTTTACAGCGAAGGGGGTTTCTGGTGAGATTCCCAGAAAACTGTAGGTATCTGGCGGGGAAGCCAGCAAGGACTTAAGCAACTGTAACTGTGTTGGGATTCAGCCTCCAAGAGGCTTTTTAGCAGACTCCAGGGTGGGGGTATCTTTTCCTTTTCAGGTTCCCATAAGTATTCCCTGCCTTTCTACCCTGTCCCTTCCCAAGCTGGCTACAGGCCACGAGAAAGGCGCATGATCAGGTAGTCCATACAGAAGGCACTGGGAAATCTCCGAGCTGCAGCAGGATTCACAGACCTTTGCTGATCGCAGTCACAACCCCCAGAGAGCACACATACCCGAGCTAGCCCATCTTCCAACACAAGGCATGCTGTTTTCCGCTTGGAGTCGGATCATGGTCCTGGCCAAACACTGGCGAGGTATTGACTTGAGGAGTTAATGTAATATTAGACCATTCTTATGTCACATTATTTAGTTCAAATCTTTTGGTTGCTGATACTTTTGTTCCGTTGTTAGGGGAAATAATGAAACCAGCCACCGAGTTTTCTTGAAATTGTTTTAGCCTTTTATCAGAATCAGATTCCTCCTTTCAAGCCTTCAAATGTCTGTATCTTTTCTAATCTAGCTTTGTAGAGACAGCTCTGCGGCCACTAGCCTGCACACCAGTGCTTGTCTATGAAAAAGTGACTCTGCTTTTATGTGTCTGACCTTGAGCCCAGAAGATGGACGGATAGAGGAAAATAAGCAGAGCCAGAGGAAGATGCTCCACACCTGCTCCTGAGGCTGGGGACATGCTTCTGATGTCCTTGTCACCTTTGAGTTTTCCTCATGGTTCCTGAAGATAAGGGCAGAAAGTAAAAACTGAGTAGAGCCAGGGGCTGCAAGTGACCACAGCAATCTGGAAGTCTCTCTTAAGCATTCCATCTTACCGTCTATGGACAGAGGTTACCATGGTAACTCCTGGGGGCATTTTTTAAACAGGCAGAGACACATTTCACTACTTGGAGGTAGTTGGTTAAGAAAATCTGTCTTGACAGAGTGGACGTGCTAATTTGAGACAGATGTCAAGAGACTGCCTGAGGCTTAGAGTGCTTTTTTGAGCAGGGATGTGAGATGATCAAAGTACCCTCCGTGTGGACTCGGCCTCCAGCCTCTCAAGGCAGTGGGCAGCACCTACAGCCTTTGGAGCAGCCTCTTTTTAAGAAGGCAGCCTAGTCAGCCAGAGACCCGGTCAGTGCTGCTCAGAGTAGGGTCAGTGGCTCCCTGGGCGCCTAGTCAGGGAGGCCAGCTCTCTTCTCACCTGTCTTGTGGAGTTTTCCTCTTCTTAGCAAGCTCCTGTGTCTCAGGAGACACACCATGATAGGTTTCACATGCACTTGAAACTGGAATTCATTTCTAGCTATGTGGCTTTGTTTCCGAATCTCTCCCGCCATGAGACCCTTTTGTGTTAAATGAAGATACACTGTTTATACTGGGGGCTGCTGATGAGCAGGAAACAGATCACATCTATAAGCTGGCTAGGTATGCTGGATTGGTTCCTTCTCATAATTTTTCACCTTTGCTGTCTTTATGTAGAGAAGGGCGGCTACTACATGGCTCTGATCCTAACATCTAGGACTCGGGGACAAGAGAATCAACAATTTGATGTCAGCCTGGGCTACTGGAGAAAGACCACGTCTTCTGTTCCTCCACCCCATAAGGAGTGACGGTAAACTAGAGAAGAGCATGTCACACCTGTTTTTGTGGATATCTGAATGGCAGAAGAGCACGAGAGTAGCTGCATCAAGTGTAGGAGAGCCGTCCACAGAATGAAAGCATGATGTCCCAACAGAGTTGGACTGAAAGGAACAGCCGTGTCAGGAAGTCAGCAAAACCTCGCTGTGACCGCCTGTGTCACTACAGACGGCTCAGGTCTGGAATAGGACAAAGTTGAAAAGGGGTCGCAGATAGAACAACAAAAGGTGTGGTGGCACCTATGTGTTCCCATTAACCCAAAGGACAGTCTCTCATCTCCAAGTTAATAAGAGGTAGTTTTCCTGGAGCCAAATAGGAGTGACCATGCATGGGGACACAGATGCGTGTTGCCCCAAATACCATGTTCTACTGTGGAAGTAGTTATGGCATTTTATTAGTGACAGAACACAGAAGCCATAAGTCAAGTCATTTACCAAATACAGTGGTGAGGTCCACAGCTGGGTGGGTTACAGCAAAGCAGAAGTGACTCTGCTAAGTGTTGTGCCCGATTCGCAAGAGCCCCGAGCAAGACCACTACAGAGCCGATATACGATGCAAAACACACAGGGGTTTATTGATAACAAGCAAGCCCGGGCTTGGTCCGTGTCCAACGCTCAACACAGCGGGTGGAGGAGGACAGCCCTGAGCTCTCAGGGTGAGGGGTTTTTAAAGGGAAAAACCACAAGCAGGTGAGCCACCATGTAGTTGCTGGGAATTGAACTCAGGACCTTTGGAAGAACAAGCAGTGCCATCTTTGAGCCATCTCTCCAGCCCCCCCCCCCATCTACCTTTTCTTAAAAAAATTTATTCAGATTCAAGATGGCGGAGACAAGCAGACGCAGGTAGGCCTGTGGCAGCGGCCCGCGGAGGTGGACGGGCCCGGCGGCAGCGGCCGACAGGGACATTCAGGCCCGGCGGCAGCCCACAGAGGTGGACAGGCCCTGCAGCAGAGTTAAGCAGACGGAGGTGGACGGGCCCGGCAGCGGCGGCGGCCCACAGAAGTGGACAGGCCACGCGGTGGAGACAGGCGGACGCAGGTCGGCGACCTGCGGAGGTGGACGGGCCCGGTGGCAGCAGCCGGCAGGGACATACAGGCCCAGCGGCAACCAGCAGAGACATACAGGCCCGGTGGTGGCCCGCAGAGGTGGATGGGCCCGGTGGCGGCAATGACAAGCAGAGGTGGGTAGGCCCGCGGTGGCAGCCGGAGACATACAGGCCCCGTGGCAGTTCGCAGAGGTGGATGGGCCTGGCAGCAGTGACAAGCAGAGGGCCCAACTGCTGATCCTGTGAAACCCAACAACTTGGAGGTGTTGGTGAGATTACCCTGCTCAGCTGAAACCCATCTGGGAGAGGATTCAGATGCCTACAGTTTGAAGTCTGAAGAAACAAGATCAGCTGAGGAGTTGACAAATGAACAAAACGTGACCTGGGAACACAG